TCGACAAGCGTGACCATTACATCCAGTCTCTCACCCTCTGCAGAGTCGAGTTCAGCGCTCATCAATGATTCTATTTCATTGAGCGCCGCTAGATAATCGGCTTCGGTTCTAATTGGTTTGATATCCATTATTCAAATCTCTGGCTATATGGTTTGTGCATCAATCTTGGCGGCATCTATCACGGACACCGCATCGATGAATGCCTGATCGTCCGGCCCATGCTCGCTTGCTGCGACAGCGAGAGATTGCCGATGAGCTTGCGAATGGAAAGATGCGGCATGCACGTCTGGCACCCATATCTCGATGGGGCGCAGCCCCTGCGCACGCAGCCGTTCACTGTGCTTGCGTACCTTGCCTTTCGTTGGTTTTGAACCTGACGTAGCAGACATATTCTGTCTCCTCTTCACTTTGCCTCAGGATTACACGGAACCTACCATGAATTCGGATGGTTTCCTGCCGCCCGATTGTCGACTAAGAGGGATAAGTTTGTTGTGTTCTGTTCGCAATGTACCAGCGACTGGCTTGAAGGATGCAACACAGCGACAAAAGAAACGCTAGATAACTGATCAGTATTCAACTCAACCAGGAAAAGGCAACGTCCCACAGGTTGTTTAGACAATGCTCGTAGTTTAATGTACGGCAATGCCGTATTCATAACTGATGTTCACGGTAATCGAAACGCCCGCCTTCTCCCGCAAAGCCGAAGGTTTATTGACTGACGATGAGCGCGAAGATTTTGCATCGTATATCTCCCGAAATCCGACGGCGGGCTCTGTTATCCGTGGCTCCGGTGGCATGCGCAAGGTCCGCTGGGCGCGCACAGGGGTCGGCAAGAGCGGCGGTGTTCGCGTGATTTACTTCAACCAGCTCGCAAACAAAGAGATCTGGTTGCTGACGCTCTATGCTAAAAACACACGCGAAATGATCCCAGCACATGAATTGAGACTGATTAGAGAGGCGATTGAACGTGAGTAACACATCAAAAGTCAGCGACGAAACGAAGGAATTGCTCAAGGCTGTTCGGCAGATGAAGAACTCTGAGAAAGGCCGTACCTATACTGAGGAACAACTCCTGGCAATTTCTGCACGTAAAGCGGTCAATCTCACGCAACGCGAATTCGCAAAGCTACTCAACGTAGCCATCGACACGGTGCAGGACTGGGAGCAAGGCAGGCGATCACCTCGCGGTGCGGCAAAGACATTATTGAAAGTCGCTCAGTGTCACCCCGAGGTTCTAGAACAACTTGCCTCATAGATTTTTGAGGATCGCGTGCTTCACTATGAGTGCGCCGCATGTTTAAGAATTCCATTGCATATCAGCGCCTTACACGCAGATCAAAACCAGATCCCTCAACTTTCACCTCAAACCACTCTCACTTATCAACCGCCCACCCCGACTTATCCCCAGCCTATCCACCGCTGCATGCCGCTGTTTCACTGGCCTCTTTCCCTCACGCGAGTAAAGTAATAACCAAGGTCAGAAGACACAGTTAGAAGAAAGAACGGGCCCGCCAAACTATCCGCAAGGGTATAAGGAAGGTCAGGGAAATCGGAAAACTGGGCCTCGTGAGCTTACGGTCTCTAGCCGAGACCAGGGTCGTCAGGCTAAGACGGCTCAAGGGTTAGCAGCAACGTTTAAGCGCATGTGCGAGGGCGAAGCGGCGAATCTGATGCTTCGAAGGTGCCGGACACTTGAGAAGTGCGACGTAAAAGGCGTCGGAAAATAACGACTTAGGTCACCGGTTATTGGATCTGCTGAAGACGTTTGGCAAAGAGAAGATAGCCAGTAGTGTGAAAGCACTACAGGGAAACTAACCGACCTTGTAGCCTTGAGCTGCCTGGTCGGGCTAGTCCCCTAACGAACGAGAAGCTCGCTAATCCTTCGGGAGACCGCGAGCTTTTCTTTTTCTGCCTCTTTATTTCTGCTTACGGGGTTTTGCGATCTCTGTACTCAGGCACTTCAGCATCAATAATCACCGGCACGCCCTGGCGGCTTTGGTTGCCATCAGAGTTGGGTCTCTCCGGGTTTAAGCCATGCGTGGTAAACGCGCGCCGCTCTTCACTGTTCAGTGCACTGCTGCCCACCACACGTTTGTCACAAAGCTGCAGCAGTGTCGCGGTTAATTCAACCTGTTGGCGGGCATCCAGCGCGCCTACGATGGCTTCGATGTCCGCCTGGGCGGCCACCACCTCATCCACACAGTCTGCGTAAGCCACCGGTGCCAGCAATACAGCTATAAACAGTAAATTTTTCATTTTTAAAAAACCTTACGAAGCAACCCTCGGGTGAGTTTGGATTGCAGGAATGGATCTAACCATCGGTACAGTCGCCCGGACACGCAGATGAGTTTACCCCGCTCTACCGCCTGTAAACCTTCCCGCACCACGGTTTCTGCGCTGTACCAGAGAAACTCAGGCATGGCGGCTTTCATCTCGGACATACCCGCTACGTCGTGGAAATCAGTGTGCGTGAAGCCCGGGCACAAGGCAGACACATGTACACCTTTGGCCTTTAAGGCCAGACCCAAACCTTCGGATAACGCGACAAGATAAGTTTTGCTCGGGCCATAATGACAGTCACCGGCGCGGGCAATTCGCGCAGCGACAGAAGACACGTTGATCACGCGGCCAAAGCCGCGCTCCGCCATGCCGGGGACAAACAGATAGCATAACTCGGTAACACTCAACATCATCAGCTGCAGAAAATCCGCATGGGGTTGCCAGGGTTTGTCTGTGAACAGGTCCGGGCCCGCGGCGCCTGCATTGTTGATCAGAAAATCGATCTCGATGCCCAGCGATTGGGTCTGCTCAAAAATCTGTTGTGGCGCTTGTTTATCGTTGAGGTCTGCGGCTATACAGTTCACGGTTAAATTGGGGTGTTCACCCTGCAAGCCCTCAGCCAGCTCATTCAATTTCTCCAGCCGCCGGGCCACCAGCACCAGGTTGTAGCCCTGCTGCGCCAGCTGACGGGCAAACTCAGCGCCCAGGCCGGCGGATGCGCCGGTGATTAATGCGGTCTTAGACATCTGCATTCCTATATATCGGTCTTGTTTTACTGAACATTACACACGGTGTGACTGCATTGATACGCAGCGGTTGCCCCGGCGCCATGCGGATCCAGCTCCAGGGTCCAAGGCGACGGGTCTCTTCCTGCTGCCAGTCGAGCTCACCGCTGATGATCAGCAGCTCGCGCACATAATACGAGGCCGCAAAAGCAAACCGTTGGCCTGCAGGCACTTCCACATAGCTCACGGCTTCATCTTTGTATCGATACAGTTCGTGTTGCGCACTGGCGGGAGCACTAGTCTGCATGGGCAGCTGTGTGACCACGGGAGTCAGATCAGCATCGTCAAACTGCCGCAGCTTCACGAAAATAACGCAGCCAGGATCACTGTGCGGCGTGTGACCCGTACCCGGTGGGTTGCGGATGTAGCTGCCTGCAGGGTAATCGGCATGTTCATCTGAAAACACCCCTTCCAGCACCACAAATTCTTCACCCAGGGCGTGTTTGTGCGGATCAAAACTGGCCCCTGGGGCATAACGCACGAGGCTGGTGGCAACAGCCACTTCATCCCCTACACGATCGAGCAGCACGCGCTCCACCCCGGCCAGGGGTGACGGCTGCCAGGTAAAGTCTGCGCTGCTGACAAATTCAGTCTGGTCGAGGTCTGCTCGAACGTTCATGTCATGGGTCCCGTTTCGTAGTTGCCGGAAATAGCATACCGGCCTAACAAGGCAAAGTACGATTCCCGTGCCTGCACATGTTGGGTAATCACGTGCATATCCTGAAAGCGTCGCTGCAGGGTGTGGTCCTGATAGATGCCGGTTGAACCGGCCACTTTGTAGGCCAGGTCCAGCACCTCAGCACACTCGCGTATCACATGGGTACTGCACATACGCAGCGCCGCACGATTGGCGTGGGTGATGTGCCCTTCCCGCCGGACCTCTGCAAACGCATCTGCGACCGTCATGGTCAGATACGCCTGCGCACTGCGCCAGCGGGCCTGGGCTTTGCCGATAAATCTCTGTACGTCCGGGTCATCCCGTAACTGCAGAGAGGCATAGCGCGGCAGCTTGCCCTGGGCTATCTCTAACACATCATCCAACGCGCCCTGGGCAACACCCGTCGCCACCGCGGCAAAACTGCAGCCAAACAGCAATGCACTGGGAATCCGCGTCATCTCATTGTCGTACGTGGCAGGTTGCCCCGCATCAGCGACCTGGCAGGCAGGCAGCTCGATATTGTTGCAGGTGAATTCAAAACTGCCGGTACCGCACAAACCCGCGGTCTGCCAGTTATCAATAAAATGCACCTGCTCGGGTTTGAAGTAGGCAATACGCCAGCCACCTTCGCTGTAACGTGCCGCACCCATCATCCAGGTGGCATGCTGGCAGCCGCTGGAAAAACCCCAGTGACCATTCAGGGTGTAACCTAGTTTGCTGGGTTTGATCTTACCGGCAAACGGTGGACCGTTGGCGACAGATGTCTCCGGGTCTGCCCAGATCGCCTTAATCTGTTCTGCCGGCAGCCACAGTGAAGTGGTACCAATCACCGCAGCCTGATTCACGCACCAGGCGGTGCTGGCATCGGCTTTTGCCAAAGACTGAATCAGCGGCAGGTAGTCTTCGAAGCTGGCTTCCAGCCCACCAAATTCCTTGGGTATGAGCAGCCGGAAAGCGCCGGCTTTTTTCAGCCGGGCGACAAGTGCTGTGGGCAACTGCCGCTCACTTTCAATCTCCTGGGCGGCGGCCTTTATCTGAGGCAGCAACGCGGTAATCTGTGCAAACATGATTTTCTCCAGCCGCCATTATTCGTTACTTGCCGGATCCTTGGAAGCCTCGACAAGCGCACGTAGAACAGACACTATCGATGCCTGCATGGAGAGGTTTAGGGAGCCGACACTGTGAAAATATTGCTCAAAATTATTGGCGGGCTGCTTGGCCTTATTGTTCTGGTCATCGCGGGCACGCTGATTGCCGCACGCTTTTCAGATGGACCGATGGAAATTGTTGCCGGCGGACCATTTACCTCTGGCCAGCAGGTCACCGAAGAGCCGGACTGGTCGTTTGTTAAAGACTACAACACGGTTGAATTTCAGCTGTTGGATCCTGCCGCATCCCGCACCACCTGGATTGCTGAACATGAAGGCCGCATCTACATTCCCAGCGGCTACATGACCACCTGGTGGGGCAAAATCTGGAAACAGTGGCCCATCCAGGCAGAAAAAGACGGCCGCGCTATCCTGCGGGTAGACGGCAAATTATATGATCGCCAGCTGGTGCGCGTGATGGATGGCCCAGCCATCGAACCCATCATGGCGGAACTCGGTCGCAAATACGGGGGCGGCCCGCCGTTACCCATGGAAGCCTTCACCAGCGGTTACCTGTGGATATTTGAACTGGCACCACGTTAGCCATGAGCGATCATCAAGCCTTCAGTGGCCTGCGTATACTGGATTTTACCCAGGTATTAGCCGGTCCATTTGCCACTCAGCAACTGGCGCAGCTGGGTGCTGATGTCATCAAAATTGAAGCCCGCGGTGTTGGCGACATCACCCGCGGCCTGCTCTCCACCGGGGCTGATGGCATGGCGCCGTCGTTCCTCACCTGTAACCTGGGCAAACGCAGTTTGACGCTGGATTTAAAACATCCCCAGGCCAAAGAGATCATATTCAAACTGCTGGATACCGCGGATGCGGTGGTTGAGAACTTCAAACCCGGCACCATAGACAGGCTGGGGTTTGGCTACGAAGCCATGCGCGCGCGCAAGCCAGACATCGTCTACGCCTCCATCTCGGGCTACGGCCAGAGTGGGCCAAAATCTGAACTTCCCGCGTTCGACGGTGCCATTCAAGCGGCTTCCGGCATGATGAGCATCAGCGGCCACGCCGCAACCGGCCCGGTACGCACGGGGTATTTCTCGGTGGATATGAGTACTGCTCTCAATGCCGCTTTTGCTATCAGTGCTGCCCTGTTCCGTCGTCATGTCACCGGCGAAGGCCAGCGTATTGATGTGTCCATGATGGACTCGGCCTTTGTCATGCAGGCAGCGCAGGTGAGTAATTATCTGGTCAACGGCATCACGCCTGAATTGTTGGGCAACGCCTCGCCCACCAAACAACCCACCGCAAACGTTTTTGCCACCAATGACGGTTTTATTCAGGTTATCGGATTACGCGATGCGCAGGCACAGGCTCTGATGCGAGCAATTGGTCGCGAAGATCTGTTTGAAAAATATCCGGAACCGGTTGATCGGATTCGCGCCAGCGCGGAATTTGCCGCCGCTTTAAACCCTGCGTTTGCGGGTAACACAACCGCACACTGGCTGAAGATTCTGCAGGACGAAGGTGTGCCCGCTGCAGCCATTCAGACGCTGGCAGAATCTACTGCAGATGAGCAGAACCAGCATCGGTTGAGCCTGACCTCGATTGCCAAACCCGGCGAGCCGGACACCCAGGTACAGGTGGTGAGTTCAGGGCATATGAGTGAGCCTGCACCACCGGTGGTACAACGCCCACCGCCCCAGCTGGGTGAGCATACCGAAGAGATTCTTTTATCGCTGGGCTACAGCGCAGACGACATCAAGGCGCTGCAGAAGGATGAGGTGGTTTAAGGCGCCGCGAGCGACGCCTCAAAACACAGCTATCTAACCGCCGCTGCTGCTTTTATCAGACAGATCCGGTGCGTGGTGCGCAGGCATCGCCGCCTGGCCGTCCGCTTCCTGTTTCATCGCCGCCACAGCCTGCTCGTTAGACATGATTTTCGCCATCACCGCCTCACCTGCTCGATCAAACACTTCGCGGTTGTTAATCACGTACTGCTGCGATTCGCGATAGTTATCCAGCATACCGTTCACTTCCGGAATCACGTAACGGGCCACCATGTCCCAGCTGCGCAGGGTGGCTTCACGGTTGGCCCAGTCGTGGGCAAATCCGATCACGGTGCCAAAGCCGCCGGTCAGCTCCAGCATATCTTTCACCGCTTTGATCATGTCGTCCGGCGTGCCGATCAGCCCGCCGCCAGCTGCAAGCACTTCATCAGACACCGCTTCGTCTGGTGAACTGTAGGGTTGTGCGCCGGGGCGCATCAAGGTGCCTACGGTGTATTCATTGTGCCATCGATACAGACCGTTTTTGGCTTCTGCCTTGGCTTGCTCTCTGGTCTCCGCAATGTGCCAGGACATGACCACACGCCAGTTATCCCGATTCACCACATTACCGTGCTCGGCAGCCGCGGTTTCCGCAAAAGACCATTGTGTAGGCAGCGCCTGTAAACCGGCGGAGCTCATAGAGCCAATGGACAACACCCCGGTGCCATGTTTGCCAGCCAGAGTCATGCCGGAGGGGCTGATCATGGACGCCACCGCAAAAGGCAGATCTTCCTGCAATGGCAGCAGCTGCAGCTTGGCATCTTTTAAGGTGAACCAGTCGCTTTCATGGGTGAAACGGTCGTCACCACGCAGAAGTTTGCGAATCACGCCAATGGCCTCATCCTGACGGTCGCGCTGAACCATGGGATCGATACCCAGCGTGTAAGCATCTGACGGTAACGCGCCGGGGCCGGAACCGAAGATCAGACGACCGCGGGTCATGTGATCCAGCTGCACCAGGCGTTGCGCCACGTTAAACGGGTGGTGATACGGCAGCGAAATCACGCCGGTGCCGAGCTTGATGTTGTGGGTGCGCTCGCCAGCCGCAGCCAGGAACAGCTCCGGGCTGGCAATCACTTCCCAGCCGGTAGAATGGTGCTCACCGCACCAGAATTCATCGTACCCGAGCTTATCCAGGTGTGCTGCCAGCTCCAGATCGCGCTGCAGCTGCAGTGTTGGATGTTCCCCGATGGGATGATGAGGCGCTACAAAAGCACCAAATTTAACTCTCGCCATGGTCCGTCTCCCCTGTAAAAACGACGAACATTATAAGCACAATTGCGGCCGAGCACAGACCGGGCAATTTGCTACCATGCCAGACACTTTACGAGGGGAGCGCCTGACCGGGCGATACAACATGTCGCGAGCAATTGATTTTGCCCAGAGCCTGCTGCCCGCGGAGAAACAGTCTGACCGCTTTTCCCATCTGCTGGTTTACCTGAGCCTGGGTGCCATGGTTGCAGGCATCGCCTCGGCTGGTCTGACTTACAGTTACGGCTATGCACCCCAGGCCTGGTTGCTGCTGTTGGCTGCCACGACCTTCCCGCTGGCCATTGCCATCCTGCATATGTTCAAAAGCGCCGTTGTTGCAGGCCACTATATGGCTGGCAACATCCTGACCCAGAGCATTCTGCTGGCCACTGACCCCGTCATCGGTTGTGTGGTGCTGATCAGTCTCGCGGCAGCGGTCGCACTGCTGGGCAAGATTGGCTCCCGGGTATGGCTTGGCCTCATTGTGCTGCGCTGTGTTTATGTCGCTTCCACGGTGGAGGGTATTGACGCTTCATCCATTGCCGCGGTGTCTGGATTGATTTCCGTTGTGGTCTTTTTTGTTGTGCAGTTATCCGAGCGTTCACGCAACCGCTCAGATAAACGCGCCCGCGCCCGCACGGCCACTACCCAACAACAGGCATCCATTCTGCAATCTCTGATAGAGCAGTATTTCGACGTCGTCATGCAGGTGAAAGGTGACGAAGTGTTTGTTGTCTCCGAGGGTATAGACAAGCTGCTGGGTTACAGAACCGGCAATTTTATCGACCAGCCACTGTCTTACTATCTGCATCCGGAAGAAGCCCAGCTGCTGAACCAGCTCAGCCCGGAAAAACCGCCTCTGCGATGTGAGGTAAGGCTGCGCCATGCGGATGGCCGTTGGGTCTGGGTTGAGCTTTACGCAACACCCGGCATTCTGATGGAGGGTAATCCTAATCACGTGCAGATTGTCCTGCGCGACTACGAAAGAGAACGCAAAGTCGGCGACCAGCTGACCCAGGCCCAGCGCCTGGAAAGCATGGGCTCCATGGCGGCCGCTGTCGCCCATGACTTTAACAACATGTTGACGGTGATTATGGGCATCACCGACGAGCTGCCGGAAGGCACATCCCGGGATGAAATCCGGCGGGTAGCCGGCAGCGCCGCCAATCTCACCAACAAGCTGCTCACCTTTGGCCACGGCCAGCCAGCATCGTCGGAAATCCATGACCTCAGCCACCTCATGAGCGAACAGAGCCTGCTGCTGCAGCACACGCTGGACTCCCGCTATGTCGTGGTTGAATCTTATGTGGAAGAGCCGCTGCTGGTTCGTATCAATGAATCTCAGTTTGAACAGGTGCTGGTGAATCTGGTGAACAACGCCCGGGAAGCGATGCCCGATGGCGGTGAGCTGGAGGTGTCATTGCAGTCGGTGGAATTTGACAGCGACGTTGAAGGCGCTAAATCCGGTCACTACGCGCTGCTGGAAGTGGGTGACTCCGGCCGTGGCATAGACGCCGAAACCCAGGCAAGAATTTTTGATCCGTTTTTCAGTACCAAAGACACGCAGAGCAATTCCGGCCTGGGTCTGTCTTCCTGTTACGGCATTGTTTCCCAGTACGGCGGTTTTATTGAAATTGATTCCAGGGTAGGTGTGGGTACCACGATTAAAGTTTATCTGCCGATTGCTGAAACCCGCGACTATCAACCGACGTTAGACGTCATCGATAACGAAGTGAGCATCATGGTCATTGATGACGATCCCGGCGTTGTGCGCGTGGTGCGCAAAGCCCTGCAACGGGCGGGCTACCATGTGCGCGGATTCACCGATGTCAGCTCCGCACGGGATTTTTTCTCACCAAACGGTGTGTCCCTGGTGATCACCGACGTGGTCATGCCGAGAATAACCGGCGCCAGCCTGGTCAGAGAACTGCGTGAGCGCGCACCGGACCTTCCGGTACTGTTTATCTCCGGTTTCACCAACGACGCCCTCAACGACTGGACACCGGATCATCAGACCAGCTATCTGGCCAAACCTTTTCGACCGGAAGAGGTGGTTGCCCGGGTAGGAGAGCTTTTAGGTTCGAAGCGCTCCACCCAGAGCGTGTTTGGCTGACAGGCCCTGATTTGCGGTGAAATATAAGCATATATCCACGCGGTTGCCCTCCTCTGGTTGCGCATCGCGACCCAAGGTCTAAAATGCGGCCTACTTTTTTAAGCGCGGCATACACATGACGGAAAACGTACATCATCGGCTCATCGTATTGGGCTCCGGACCCGCCGGTTATACCGCAGCCTTGTATGCCGCTCGCGCCAACCTCAATCCAGCGCTGATTACCGGCGTTGAAGTCGGCGGTCAGCTCACCACCACCACAGAAGTGGAGAACTGGCCGGGTGGTCACGCCGAACTGCAGGGCCCGGAGCTCATGATGCAGATGGCGGAACACGTAGAGCGTTTTGATGCCCAGATCATCAACGATCACATCCATACCGCCGAGGTGGGTGTTAAGCCGTTCAAACTGATGGGTGACCAGGCCACCTACACCTGTGATGCCTTGATTATTGCTACCGGCGCGTCAGCCAAATATCTGGGCCTTGAGTCAGAAGAAAACTTCAAAGGCCGCGGCGTCAGCGCCTGCGCCACCTGCGACGGCTTTTTCTACCGTGGTCAGGACGTGGCGGTTATTGGCGGTGGCAACACCGCTGTTGAAGAAGCCCTGTATCTGGCCAACATCACCAACAAGGTATATCTGGTGCATCGCCGCGACGAGCTGCGCGCAGAAAAAATTCTGCAGGATCGCCTGCTGGCCAAAGCCAACATCGAACCCATCTGGAACCACAATCTTGCTGAAGTGCTGGGTGACCAGCAGGGTGTTAACGGTATGCGCATCACCAGCAATGACGGCGAAGATAAGCAGATTGATCTGATGGGTGTGTTCATTGCCATTGGCCACACACCGAACACCGGCATTTTTGCTGATCAGCTGGATATGGAGAACGGCTACATCCGCATTCACAGCGGTATTGAAGGCAATGCCACAGCAACCAGCGTGCCGGGTGTGTTTGCTGCCGGTGACGTGGCTGACCATGTTTATCGCCAGGCCATTACCAGCGCCGGCTTCGGCTGTATGGCCGCGCTGGACGCCGAGAAGTATCTCGACGCCCTGGAGGATTAGACCAGCGTCTGGCGAGCGTTATACCGCTTTTGCTGGAATTCGCTCAGCGATTTTCTGCGACCAGATTTTTGGCCCCTGAATGTGTACCGACTCGCCGTCTGCATCCACTGCAACGGTGACCGGCATATCTTTCACCTCAAATTCGTAAATGGCTTCCATACCCAGTTCAGGGAAGGCCACCAGCGTTGATTTAGTAATGGCCCTGGCCACCAGATAAGCAGCGCCGCCCACCGCAATCATGTACACGGCTTTGTTATCGCGTATCGCTTCAATGGCCACCGGCCCGCGTTCGGCTTTGCCAATCATGCCGGCAAGGCCGGTTTCCTCAAGCATCATGCGGGTGAATTTATCCATGCGGGTGGCGGTGGTTGGACCGGCTGGGCCAACCACTTCTTCGCGCACAGGGTCAACCGGGCCCACGTAATAGATAAACCGATTGGTGAAATCGACCGGCAGAGGCTCACCTTTTTCGAGCAGGTCAGCAATCTTCTTATGCGCTGCGTCACGCCCGGTCAGCATTTTTCCGGACAACAGCAGCGTATCGCCGGACTTCAGTGACTGCACCAGTTCAGGGGTAATTTCATCCATGTTGACGCGTTTCACGTCATCACCCAGCTCAAATTCAATGTCCGGCCATTCCGACAGATCCGGTGGTACAAACTCAGCGGGACCAGAACCATCCAGTTCAAAATGTACGTGGCGGGTGGCACTGCAGTTGGGAATCACCGCAACGGGTTTGTTCGCCGCGTGGGTTGGGTATTCTTTGACTTTAACGTCCAACACAGTGGTTAAGCCGCCCAGACCCTGGGCACCAATACCCAGCCCGTTGACCTTTTCAAACAGCTCCAGGCGCATCTCTTCATAATGGTTACTGGCACCACGGGCCTGCAGCTCGTGCATGTCGAGAGGCTCCATCAGCGACTCTTTCGCCAGCAGCATGGCTTTTTCCGGCGTACCGCCGATGCCTACACCGAGCAGACCTGGTGGACACCAGCCGGCGCCCATGGTGGGCACAACGCTGAGCACCCAATCCACCACATCATCTGAGGGATTCAGCATGGCAAACTTGGCCTTGGCTTCACTGCCACCACCTTTGGCCGCAATTTCGATATCAACTTTGTCACCGGCAACAATTCTGGTGTGAATCACCGCCGGGGTGTTGTCTTTGGTGTTGCTGCGGGCGCCGTCAGGGTCGGTCAACACCGAACCGCGCAGGACATTATCCGGGTGTGTATAACCACGCCGCACGCCTTCGTTGATCATGTCTTCAACAGACATATCCGCCTGCCACTGCACATCCATGCCCACGGTCAGAAACACGTTAACAATACCGGTGTCCTGACAGATGGGCCGCTTGCCCATGGCACACATTTTTGAATTCACCAGCACCTGGGTCAATGCCGCCTTGGCCGCCGGGGATTCTTCTTTTTCCCAGGCACCACGCATGGCACGGATAAAATCCAGCGGGTGATAATAGGAAATGAACTGCAGCGCATCGGCCACACTCTGAATTACATCTTCTTGTTTGATGAGGGTCATCAACTACTCCGTCTCAAAGGGATCACTTATTAGTTTACGGGGCTTACCCGGGTATTTCGCAGAAGGGGTTCAGCTCAACAAGCTGACTCACCGCGCTGTTTTTATGTTTGCCTGCACACCAGCTGGGCATCACCATGGAATACAGACCACTGCCGCCGGCCATCAGCAGCAGAATATCGTCTGGCGCGTTAAACGCACGGTAATCATCGTCACCGGTTATCCGCGTGGCAAACGAGCCGCCATACTGTTTCAGCTGTGCTTTGGGAAAATGCGTCAGCTCCCACAGGCGTTGCACGATGTGTTCACGGGTCAGATTGGCCTGAGACAGTATCTGTGCATGTTCCGGATTCAGAACCACAACCGCCCCGCCACCGGTGAGCACGGCATTGTTGGTGGCCATATTGGCCAGCCCTACCGCCAGCTGATGTAACAGATTCTCCGCATCATCAGGATCGTCCGCATTGCCCGAGTAGATCACCGAGTGCGGGGCTTCCGCACCGATTACCGTCACCACGCTGTCTTCAGGCTTAAATCCGCGACCAACATGCAGCGGCGTAAACGGTGAATGTTCTTCGTCTTCTGCCAGACAGTAAGTGAATTTGCCGGGATGCCCAAGCAGCGCCATATCCGATGAACCCGGACGCGCGCCACCAATATTGATCATGGTCAGGCGCAACGCACGACCGATGCTGGCGTTAGCACGATGGCCGGGGCCCAGCGCGCCAAAACCACTGGCAATGCCGCCACATTCGTTTCTTGCCGGTCCATTGACGATAATCAGTGGCGCCGTACAGTGGGTGGTGGACTGCATTTCAGTTAAATCAAATTCAGGCTGTAGCACTGCCTGTACGGCCGCCATCACCACAGGCATATGCTCTGCGGTGCAGCCGGCCATCACTGCTGCAACAGCAACTTTTTCTACCGTTGCTACCCCTAAGGCCGGACCCATAACACCCAGCACCATGTCTGACGCCTGGGCACTGGCCAGCACCATACGCTCTACCCGCTCAGCGGTGGGAATGACCACTGGCAGGCCGTCCGTACAGCCAAGGTCGTGTAACTGTTCCAGTGCCGCGGCTTCATCCGCAGCCTCAAGCCACTCAGACATGTTTGGGCTCCGCCGTAAAACTCCGCACAATGTTGTCCACTATGGTGCTGGCCACGCGCTGCAGATTTGCCTCGCCTGTACCTGCCACGGGATGTGGCAGCTGCACACGGGGGGCATCCGGCATACCCAGCGAACGGGCGGTGAAATCTCCCTGGGGCCAGAAATCTTCAGTGACCAGGGCAACTGAAGGAATACCTAAACGAGCCATACTGATGCCGTCACGCACGGTGCCGGTAGTACAACTGCCTCAATGGCCATAGGCGGCAATGGCCACCTGACAACTGGCTTTGATTTCAGCCAGCATGTCATCTGGTGCTGGAATTGAGGCATTGCCTTTATTCCAGAATTTCACCTGCAGACCAGGTAGCCGTTTAGTAAGGGCGGCGCCGACCGCGTGCAGGAAGTTATCTGAATCCGGAAAACCGTTGGCCAGCAGACCAACCGTGGTACCGGCGCCTTCCTCTGCGGTGAGGTTGTAGCTCAGCGTATAAGGCTCAGCAGCTGTTGCCACCTCGCCTCTTGGATCATGAAATGTTGTCATCTTTCTCCCCTGTTTTTAACAGAACACAGTAGAAACCTAATCCGTCGGAGAGTTTACTCTATTGTGCCCCCGCCGGTCCCACTCTAGACTTTGACTTTTCAACGCCATGGACTCCCACATGCGCACGTTTCTGTGTTTTGCACTCAGCCTCTGCATCAACCTCGTTGCAGGCTATGCGCATGCGGCCAAAACACAGGAGATAGAAGCACCTGAGGTTGAGGCAGATGAATTCCACTTTGTGGTCTTAGGTGACGCCCAGTTTCACGATCCGGCAAAGTTCAATCGCGTGATCGACCAGACCCGTCGACTGCGACCGGCGTTTGTCATTCAGGCGGGTGACCTGATCGAGGGCTACAACAGCGATCTGGAGATTATTGAAGAAGAATGGCAGCGTTTCAGCCGCCAGATTGGACCACTGGCACCGGTGCCTTTTTATGCAGTACCGGGCAATCACGATGTGTTTAACGGTCAGCGGCAGGTCGACCCCCGGCTTGAAGATCTGTACATCAAACACTGGGGGCCGCTGTACTATACGTTTGTATATAAGAATACCCAGATTGTGGTGCTCAATACCGATTCGACGGAAGGGGTTAACACCATCACCGGCAAACAAATGGTCTGGCTGCAGGGTGTGTTAAAGAACAGCACCGCTGAACACAAAATCCTTTTCATGCACCGGCCGCCACTGCTCACCACCAACGGCGAGCGCCTGCATAAACTGTTTGTTGAAAACGGCGTGAAGCGCGTGTTTTACGGCCACCACCATCACTACCATCACTTTGTCCGTGACGGTGTCGCGTACACCATGACCAATGCCGCCGCCAATTCGGTTAACGACGTGGAAGCGGTCGGCGGTTTTCATCATCTGCTGCAGGTGTCGGTGCGCGGTGAAGAATTAGACGTTGCGGTGATCAAAGCCGATGCCATCAAACCCGAAGATACGGTTGCCCCCATCGATAATTATGATTTTTTTGCACTGCATCAACGGCTGGCACCAAATTCAGTCAAGCTCAAAGAACTGCAGGAGGACGTTTATCAACTTGTTATTCCATTGCGCAACAGCAGTCAGCGAGAGATAAATGTCCTGTTAAGCTGTGATTCGGCAGACCAGCGCTGGCTGTTCACGCCCCAGGCCATCGCCCCGGTTTCTCTGGCGGCAGGTGCCGAAGAAGACGTTATTCTGTCTCTGACCCATACCGCCATGCGTGTCCCTGAGTCGGAACCGGTGTGCGAGCTGCGCGTGCCTTATCAGACGACACGCGGTCAATGGCTCGAGTTCAGCAAACAGATTACCGGCAACCGCTGATCCAGGCAGCGCGGCTACCGGGCAAAATGAGGCATCACCTCTTCAATGTAGACCTGCAGGTTGTCCCAATCTACCGGCGGACGAAAGGCAATATTGATGCCTTGAATGCCCACATCCTGAAAGCGACCAATCAGATCTACCGCCTGCTGGGCACTGCCGGTTAAGGAACCGTTCGGGTCGATATCCGGTTGTCTATCCGAGTTCATATAGAAGCCGAGATTGACGCTGGTGTCGATCTCCGCCGGGTCCCTGCCGATTTTTTCACAGGCCTGTTGCAAACGGGACAGGCGATCCGCCGCAATCTCCGGCGACACGTACGGCATATTAAAACCGTCTGCATATTTGGCAGCGAGCGCTACGGTACGCTGTTTACCTCGACCACCAATCCACAAACGCAAGCCCAGGGGCTTCGGCGCGCAGACGGCTTCACTCATGGTGTAGTACTTGCCTTTGAAATCCACGCTTTCGCCGCGCCACAGCGCGGTGATAATCTCCAGTGCTTCTTCCAGTTGATCAAATCGCTGACCCAATGGCGGGAAGCCATAACCAAAGTCACGGAACTCTTCCTCAAACCAGCCGGCGCCAATGCCTACATCAGCGCGCCCACCGGATAAATGATCAATGGTGACACCGGCTTTGGCCAGCACACCCGGATTTCGAAACAGGGCACAGAAAACAAGACAGCCCACACGCACATTGGAAGTTGAGGCCGCCAGGCCTGCCATCGCAGCCACACCCTCAAAGCAGGGATTTTCCCTATCCTTCAATGGATTGGCGTAAAAATGATCCCATACGGACACCCAGTGAAAACCGTTAGTGTCACCAATCTGCCAGAGGCGCTTGAGCTCTTCCATGGACAGATCCTGGGGACCTGCATGTATGCCTAGTTTCATGCTCCCTCCTTATCAGTAAAAATCACCTCGTTTGCCAGCAGCGCTTGAATTCGCTCTTCTTCAATACCCACCTCTCGCAGCACAGCCAGACTGTCTGCGCCCACATCGGGTGCCCGCCTGGGTTTTCGTTTGGGAGATTCCGCTACGGTGATAGGGCTGTTGATGGTCAACGGATAACCCTCACCCTCGTCATCCGTTTCAACCACAATGTCATTGGCGCGCATTTGCTCGTCTTCAATAATGTCACCCATCGGCGTCACCCGACTGAAGGTCACCCCCGCTGTTTCCAGAAGTTTGCTGACCTCGGCAAAACTGAATTTAGAAAAAGCCTCGGCCATTGCCAGGTGGAAGTCCGGTCGGTTTTTCATCACGCTGCCAACACTGGCAAACCGCTCGTCTTGCAGCCAGTGGCTGCACCCAAGTGCACCTGCCAGCGCGGGATATTCCCGCGCGGTGTTGATCACCGCCAGCACCACATAGTCGCCATCGCTGCAGCGGTACACGTCACTGAACGGATTCGGCCAGCCTTTGGCCTGCCGATAGGTGCCGATATTGTTGCCTGCTATCACCCCCTGCAGGGCCATGCCGTTGGCCCACACGCCATTTGCTGCCAGCGAAGTTGACACAAACGATCCTTCGCCGGTGCGCTCACGACGGTATAAACCCGTCATCACGGCACCAAACAACGCTGTTGCAGTGCAGTGATCACCCATGCCCGGGGCCATGGGCAGCGGCGTCTGGTCAGGTTCGCGGATAAATTCCATCAGACCCGAGCGTGCCCACCAGCCGGTCACATCAAACGCGCGCCGGTCGGCATCTGGTCCTTTCAGGCCATACCCCGAGATGTGCGCAAAAATCAGGCGCGGATTGACCTTTTTTAAGGTCTCGTAGGTCAGCTGATACTTTTCGAGCTGGGGACGCATGAAATTGGTGGTCAGCACATCTGCTTTGGCCACCAGATCATGCATAAGCGCCTGGCCGGCATCACTGCGCAGATCCATCGCCAGGCTGCGCTTGTTCCGCGACGTGAGCAGCCAGTGGTACGGTACCGGATAAGCGCCCACCAGGCTTCGATAGCCATCCCCACCCGGCGGTTCAATTTTAATCACGTTAGCGCCGAAGTCGGCCAGAATAGTAGCGGCACCCGGGCCGGCCAGATAGGTCGCCGCATCGATCACTGTGATGTCTTCTAACAGGTGTTCCATTTGTCTCCCCAAAGTCCCCGTTTACGCAGGTGTAGAACTTAACACTCGTTCTCATCTCTGGCGATCACCATGACATCCCCTTCTGCATCTACAGTAACGTCGAGGTGAATGGGCCGGCAGCAGACATAACAATCTTCAATGTAACTCTGCGAGGTTTCGCTGGGATCGACCACCAGCTCAAAGGTTTCGCCGCAATAGGGGCAGTCGATATGGGTAGTTGTGGTGCTGAGCATCTGTTTTTTCCGATTAGCGGCAGGCGATAGCTGCCGGGGCATCCCAGAACAGCAAATAAATGATATTGTTCTGCCTTTTTTAACTGAGAGCCGTGCGGCTTTAGCGTGCATAAGTATGTCAGATCTACCCTTCTGGTTTAACCAGGCCCTTGAAGTCCCCTCCCAATCCGGCAATGTCCTGGTCGATGGCGCAAACATCGTCTTTGAAACCTGGGGCGATGTCGGTAACCCCGGCATTGTGCTGATCCACGGCAGCAACGCCCATCTTGAATGGTGGCGCTTTACCGCGCCATTTCTGGCTGACCGTTTTCGGGTCGCCGCCATCGACCTGTCCGGCAACGGCAACAGTGACTGGCGGGAGAAGTACACGGGTAAAAACTTTGCAGATGAGGTCTGGGCGGTCTGCCAGGCTGGAGAACTGGGCGAGCGCCCGATTGTTGTCGGCCACAGTTTTGGCGGCTTTGCTGCATTGGAAACCGGCCACTATTACAGCGAACACCTCGGTGGCATCCTGTTTATGGATTTCACCACTGCTCCACCTGAGGAATACATGGAATGGGGCCTGCGGGTTGAGCGCGATGGGGTAAAACCCGGCCGCAAACTGCGGGTTTACGAAGACAAGGCAACCGCCCTCGGCCGCTTCCGCCTGATCCCGGAACAGCCCGGCGTACACCCGGCACTGCTGACCCATATGGCGGAATATGGCCTCAAAGAAGTCGAAGGTGGCTGGACCTGGAAGTTTGATCCGGGTCTGTTTGACTATATGGAAATGGGTGTGTCTCAAAGGGATAAATTTGCCGCGCTGAAATGCCGCAGCGCTTTGATGCTGGGTGAGTTCAGCGAAGATGAAGGTGCTTTCTACGCCCAGCATATGGCCGATATCACCAACGGCCTGCTGCCGACCATTACGTTCCCGGGCACCTATCACCACCTGATGTTTGATGACCCCATGGCGGTGGTTATGGCCATGAAAATACTGTTCCTGGAATGGCACAAAGAGGATCATCAGGCGGAATACGATAGCGCATTGAGCAAAACCCTGGAGGCCTCATCATGACCGAGCTGAGCAAAGAGCTGATCGCCGATCTGCAGTCCATCGATACACCAACGGTATGTAACGCCCTGGAATTACTGATTCCGGAACGTCGTGGTTACGGCTTCACAACCCAGGCGCTGGTTTGCACACGACCGGAATTGCCGCCCATGGTAGGCATCGCCCGCACCGCCACGATTCGGGCAGCGCACCCTACCCACCTGCGTGGTCAGGCTGTTAAAGACATGAATGATGGTTATTACACTTATATTGATGAAGGCCCCAAGCCGAGCATCATTGTTATTCAGGATCTGGACGGCCCTCAGCGCGCCTGTGGTTCCTGGTGGGGTGAGGTCAACGCCAGCATCCATAAAGGCTTTGGTGCCCTGGGGGTGATCACCGACGGTTCTGTCAGAGACCTGCCGGATATTCCCCCAGGCTTTCAGATGATGGCTGATCGGGTGGGACCGTCTCACGCGTTTGTGCACGTGGTGGGTTATGGCCAGCCTGTGACTGTTGCCGGCATGCGTGTCGTCAGCGACGAGCTGATCCACGCGGATCAGCACGGCGCCGTGGTGATTCCCTGGGAAGTGGCTGACAAAGTGCTCGACGCGGCCAGAAAGGTTGCCGCAGCAGAAGCTGTGATTATCGGCGCTGCGCGGGAGCCAGGGTTTAACATAAACAAGCTACGTGAGGCCTGGGGCACTTCTGCTGAGGTTAAACACTAGCTCAACTGCGAGACAATCTCAGCGTGCTGATCTCGACCTAAACTGTAAATTCGGGTCAGCACAATCAGCACTACCATGATGCCAATGGGTACCAGGGTGAGCAGGACATGGATGGTCTCCAACGCTGCAGGTGTCTGTTCTGCGTTGGCCACATAACCGGCAAACCCCAGCGCAAAGGCTACCCCTGCACCGCCCACGGTTTTGGCCAGTTTCTGGAAGAAACTGGCGGTAGAGTAAATTGCGCCATCCGCGCGCACGCCATGTTTAAGCTGAGCATATTCCACGGTGTCAGGAATCATCGCCCAACCCAGCACGGCAACCGGCGTGCCCCCCAACGCCACCAGACAACCCCAGAAAAAGATTGCGGTAATGGCATCATAGGGTGTCAGGTAAAAGCCGACACAGGCAAGGATTGTCAGGTAAGCACCCAGGCGTGTGGCACCTGCTTTGCCAAAACGTTCCGCCAGGCTCGGCACCGCCCAGATACCGATTAACATGCACCCCAACGTTAATGTGAAAAACCAGGAGATCAGGGACGGATCGCCGACGTTGTAAATGAAAAAGTAGGCGGTTGTGGTTTGCCGTACGGTAAAACTCAACATACCGCAGCTGAAGATGCCGATCACCACAAGCAGTGGTGGATTACGGCTGATCGCCAACAGGCTGTCTTTGATGGATATTTTTTCCACCTTCGGCGTGACCACTTCGCGGGTGGTTGCAAAGGTGACCCACAACAAAGCAGTGGCCACCACTGCAAAGCCCAGCATCAACACCTGAAAACCCAGGGCCTCGTCATCAAACAGGCTCACCAGCGGGAAGGTACCTACGGAGACCAGAAAACCGCCGGCAAAGGCGCAGCCAATTCGATAGGTGGACAGCTTTGTGCGCGCCTGATAATCCTGGGTCAGCGATGCTGTTAACGTCGCGTAGGGAATGGTGACCACGGTATAAATCAGGCCAAACAGAATATAAGTGGTGTACGCCCAGGTGACTTTGCCTGCCATATCGGTATCCGGCACGGTAAACGTCAGAATACTGATCAGCGCCAGCGGAATAGCGCCAAACAGGATATAGGGACGCATACGTCCCCAACGTGTACGCGTGCGTTCAGCAATCATCCCCATAATCGGATCGGTTATGGCATCAACAAATCGAGCAACCGCAAATACACCGCCTGCCGCGGCGGCACTGATGCCCATCACATCGGTATAGAAATACAGCAGATAAGTCATGACGGAAATGAAATACAGGTTGATGCCGAAATCGCCGACGGCATATCCCGCTGCAGTGCGTAGCTTCATTTTTTATCGCTTGTAGAGGTGCGGGAAGTGGTGTTGCTGGAAATGGTGCCCTGCTCTAACAGCGCGTCTATCTGCTCGGGGGTATAGCCAAAATCTGCCAGCACGTCGGCTGAATCTTTACCCGGGTCGGGGGCAGCACAATCAAATCGCTGGGCCTGCGCAAACGCAGATAAATGTATTGGTGAGCGCACCAGTTTCAGCTCACCCAGCTGCGGATGCGGGGCCGGTATGGCCATGCCCAGATGTTTCACCTGCGGGTCTTCAAAGGCTTCACCCACGTTATTGATGGGGCCGGCGGGCACACCAGCGGCAGTTAACCGCTCGGTCAGCTCAGCGACCGTAAACTGACGAGTGACCTCGTTCATATCCGCTTTCAGGGTGTCACGCCGAGATACCCGCGCGGCAACACTCTGATAGTCTGGATGGCTGCGCAGGGCATCAGCGTTAAGCGCTTCACAGAACCTGCCCCACATCACCTCTCCGTAAGCCGCCACATTGATAAATCCATCACTGGCCTGGAGCGTACCCATAGGCACCTGGGTGGGATGATCGTTACCCTGCTGGTCAGGGATCTCACCATTCATTGTGTACCGCGCACCCTGAAAATCCAGCTTGCTCAGCATGGCTTCCAGCAGAGACGTCTGTACCCACTGGCCTTTCCCGGTCTGCTGACGATGGATCAGCGCCAACAGAATACCCTGGCCGAGGAACATACCTGCAGAGGTATCGCTGATGGCCACACCCACACGCATGGGACCCTGGCCAGGCTCACCGGTGATCGACATCAGGCCACTCATGCCCTGAATGATCTGATCCACACCTGGACGGGTTGCGTAGGGGCCATCCTGACCAAAACCCGAGATGCTGGCATAAATCAGCCGCGGATTAATTGTCGACAACGTCTCGTAATCCACGCCTAAACGAAATTTCACATCGCTGCGAAAGTTTTCCACCACAATATCCGCCTGCTGCGCCATCTGGTGAAAAACCTGCTGTCCCGCAGGGTCTTTCAAATCTAACGACAGCGCGCGTTTGTTGCGATGCAGATTCTGTTCGTCAGGACCACGGCGACTGCCGGTGGCAGAGCCACTGCTTCGAGGCGGTTCTATCTTGATAACATCGGCGCCCCAATCTGCAAGCAGGCGCACGGCGGTTGGCCCCGCCCGCGCGATGGTCAGATCAAGGACCTTTATATGCTGCAGCGGACCCTGCACGGGTTATGGCCTGATCAGGCGTCCGGGCAACGCATCGGTGGCTTCGCCAAGACGATAGGTCACCTCTCCCGCCACCAGCGTGGCCAGATAACCATCCGCCTTCTGCTGCAGACGCGCACCACCGGCAGGCAGGTCGTGCACAATTTCCGGCACGCGCACGTTAAGGTGTTCAAAATCGATGACGTTAACATCTGCACGCATGCCCGCCTGCAGGGTGCCGCGATCAAACAGATCTACCGCACGAGCGGTATCCCGGGTCTGATTTCTTATCAGCGTCGGCAGATCAATCTGCTCTCCACGGCTGCGATCGCGCCCCCAGTGGGTCAGCAAGGTTGTGATGAAACTCGCATCACAAATGGTGCCGACATGCGCACCGCCATCACCTAAACCCATGACCGTGTTCTGGCTCAAAATCATTTCGCGACAACAATCAAGATTGTTTTCTGCATAGTTCGCAAACGGCGTGTAGAGGATGGCTTTGCCTTCACCCT